ATATCATTGTAATATGTTCTTAAGATTATGCATTATATCACCAATCCTCTATCAAGTATACATAAAATCATTATTATCCTTATCCTTTTTAAAGCAAAAAATTCTAAAGTATTCAATTCATAGCTATATCAGTTTTTCATTGTATCATTGTTAATTTATTTCACAGCATGATTGTGTTATCAATTAACTCCTTCAGTTAAAGCATGAGTAAAACATTTTTCATTTCCAAGTTTTTTCCCCCAGCCACTGATAAAACTGAGGTCTGGGGTTTTCTGTACCTCCTTCCAATTATACACAAGAAACATCAGAAGAACTTGAATATTGTTTTTTTTTTATTGTTTTTTTACTAAAAGAGCGTTGGCATTTCTGTGATTTTAATTCCTTGGTTCCTCTACAGATAAAACAAATTCTGCATTACTCTACTGTGTTGTTATTATTTTTCAAAGTGAAAACATTTTGTTTTTCTGGCATAAGGAATGGCTGCATCAAAATTCCCTACTCAATAAGTTATAAGGGCTGAACTACACTCTTTTTTGCTATGCAGGTGACCTCTATAAGTTGCAGTTGGAAAAAGCAATGCTTGCTCCTGTCTCTGTAGTCTGAATGGCATGGCTTGGCTCAAGAAGCACCATGTGGCTGCTGCATCTGCTTTCCTGACTGCGTGGCTAGGCTCCCTCTCTGAATGAGTGCACTGTTCAGCAATGTTGATGGGATGGATTAGAACCTGTGGGTTGGGTTTTGAGGTACAGGTAGTCCTTGTCTTACAGCCAGTCGCCTTAGCGACCATCCAAAGTTACAACGGACCTCTCTGGGGATTACTTATGACCCAGATTTGAAATTCCAATGACTGTCCCTCTGGTGTTCACATGACTAGCATGCATTTATGACCACTTGTAGCATCCCATAGTGTGTTTTATGACGTTTTGTCGAAATCCAGCATTTATTTTTGTTTTTTGGCAAAACCGGCCCATAGCAAACCATGGGTTCGCTTAATGTCTGCACCATTTGCTTAATGACCATGGTGGTTGCTTAAAGACCACCACAAAAATGACACAATCAGGTTGATCATTTGGGTGACCTGAATGACATCTATCACAACATATGACTGTAATGAGCATTACAGTGGTAACTTGAGGTCTGCCTTTATGTCAGTGAGAGAAGGGAAGGAGCATCCTTCTTGCGTCGTTATTTGAGCTAACTAAGCAAAGACCACCAAGATGAAAACACTTCCAAGTCTGTGTTACATACTATACAATTTCATTTGCCCCTTTCCTATTTTTACTTCCTTATTTGGTGCTATAAACATCTGCATGCTCTGTAACCAAGTAATTGGTTAAAAAGAAGCCAAATAAAAAAGTGCTGTTTTTGCACACACACATACACACACACATACACACACACACACACACACAGGAATGAAAATATTAGTGGCTAATCTTTTTTCTGACAAACACCTGCTTTTTTCATCTTTTGAGATTTTTCCCACTGACCCAGCTGCATGCCTTCTATCTATAAATTTGGTGTACAGCCATGTAGTACATACCAGAAGGGAAAAAAATACTGCCTACACACACACACACACACACACACAAGGTTTTTTTTTTTTAAATTCAGAAAATATGCTGATTGTCCCATCTTCATGTGGCCTTGGCCTTCTTTTTTTTGCTTTTTTATTATGATATTTCTTAAGATTGAAGAAAAACATTTTAATAGCCGACAATGTCAAGGTCAAAACAAGTTCACAGATCAAGTTTCTCTTGCAGCATTACTACTCTAAAATAGTAATATATCAGGAATTTTTTTTAAAAAAAATCCTATGGCAACATGCATAGGATGCTGCAAATAAAATAAAGTTCTGAATATTTCATGCTTACCCTAGTTGGAAAAGGTGAATGTCTATGGAGATTGTCAATCATCCAGGTTATGATTGATGCTTTTTCCAAAATGCAACCAGACTTTCTTAGGTTTTTTTTCTTTGAAAAAGTTCCACTTCTCATCCAAGAAGCTTCTTCAGTTCTGAAGGTTCATATGAACTTTCATCATCACATACAGCATGTTGTTTGGTTACAGGTGTTTAACCTGAACCTTAATGTTCAAATTCATTAAGAAGTCAGGTCAGGAACATATGAAGTCAGAACAAATAGAAAGTTCCAATGAGTGTGTACATAATATCATAGTGCGGAAGAAACTAGTTGATCCCAGTTAGATGGTTAAAACATGCAGAGTTGTGTTTTTTTTAAAGGATTTGTTTTTAACACCAGTGAGCAACTATTGTTTTCTCCAGTTTTCAGAGATACTTCGGATGTTTCTGCATAACAACATATGAATATTTTGTAGCTTCCGATGGAAAATATCTGTAGGGAATTAAAAGTTTCTGGGTTTTGTATTAACTGTTTCATATGTGGATCAATGGTCTTCCCTATAAATGCCATTCATACACTCTAAATCAAAATTGTAACTAAGTTTAAGCACCATTGAGATGGGCATAAAGGAGATGTAGATTCTATTGCTCTCTCAGGAAGTTACACAAGATGTCTTACAATAAATGGCTGACCAGTCTCGGTTTAGTTGTCCTCCTATTGATGAATCCCTCAAAAGTGAACTATGGAAGCCATTTGGCTTTTGTTAGCCAACCTTGCCAAGCAACTGGGCAAATCTTGCATTTTGCAGTCCTCTCAATCCTCGAATGTAAACGTCATTCTTACATTTCTAAGCCTTCATTTTCTTTTATTAAAAAGAAAAACAGTTTCCACTAGAAACTCTTACAGACTTTTTTAATTGCAAAGCAATTGTGTGGTGTTCCCTCCCCCCCCCTTGGATTAAATGTAATGAAATACGGTTGATACACTACTGCTAATATAAATAATGCTGAGAAGAAAACAGCCATCGCAAGATTCTGAGTTTTCCTTTAAATGGCATTGTTGTGAAGTCTCTAGGAGGGAAATGAATTTTAAGCCATATAATTGACAGTATCCAATATCACTTCACTGTTGGAACTGCGGATAAATGCTGGGTTCTCACAGTGATATTGTGGCAGTAATGAACTGCAATTTCTTGGATGGCTATGGTTCTTGGCCTTCTGCCTAGCAACGTATTGCAGAGGGAGGAAATTTCCAAAAGAAAAAGCACATTCCATTGGCAGCAAGATTTCATCACTATGTTATAGTTAACCCCAGGACTTAAGCAGATGTAGGCAAAGGGATGGAACGCATTTTAAAGTGTCTTGAATATTGGTGTGATTACATAATTTGATAACAGATAATAATATTTGTTTCTTTTAAAAACAATAATTGTTATCATAGGGGCTAAATGCAAAAACTAGGGAATTCATGGAAGTTTGACATTTAGACAAATCAGCCACTAACAGACAGATAAACCATATTTGCACACAATTAAAATACAATAAAAAAGCTAAGAAGGAAACAAAAAGACCACAACATATCCTCTACAGCAGCCAACATCCAGATAAGCAGGGATTAACACCCAATAAACAATCAAGCAGAAAATAATTCCCTAATCAAAATCCA